TAATAAACAAAACGAAAACTTTATACGACGGCAAAAACAAAAACAACAACAACAACAACACTTGAATAGCCACAAACTACTTCCTTGTTCTCGTTGGATGGCTTCGTGAGAGAAAAGAGAGCAAATGCATTTGTGCTCGCGTGCCCAAAACGTAGTATATATCACTTGTGTAAATGCTTGTCGCGCAATATTGAATGATTGAATGAATGAATAGTTTTATGCGCTCAATTGTAAACACGCGCAACAACAATTGCTTGAGTTGAAAACACGCGTTTACTTATTTTTACTTTTTTTTTTGTTACTTTTCAATAGTGTGTGTGGTTGTTGTTGTTTTTTTATTATTATTTGCAACGGCGAAGTTTGTTCTTAATTTCGAACTGAAGGTGTTGCGCGTTTTATTGGCTGCTTACTGCTTACTTGTTAATTACTACAGATTAAGGAACGTTCGAACATATTTCCAATAATTTATAATTTATAAAATTATTTCAAATAAAATAAAACAAAATAAAACAATGTTGAAAGCATAAATGCATGCTTAATGTACATTACGTAGCAGTTTAGTCGTTACTCGTTGCATTCGTTTCTCGTTACATTTCCATTGTCGCTGTACGTGCAGCGGAAAAGTTACATTTTAATAATAATTAATAATAATGTAATTAATAACAACAACAACAAAAAAAATTGTGTTAATTAAAGGTAAAAAAAAAATTATGTGTGTCGAATAGTTTTTATTAAGCGGAAACTTTAAAAAAAATTGAATAGTGTTAATTTTTTCAATTGTAAAATATCACTGGAGAACTAATAAATTCTTCATTAACTAGAATTTTATAATATATCTATCTTAATTAATTAATTAACAAAAATTTTAAAAATTAACATTTATCATAAACTCAATGCTAAATATTCTAAATAACAATCCATAATAGTTCCTGCTTACTTTTAATGTGGAAAAAAGAAATCATGTTTGTTTCTGGTTCGAATATGTTAAATTCAATTAATAAATATATTTTCAAAATTAAAATTAATTAAATACAATTCAAATTTGTAAAAAACAAACAAATGTCTATACCTCGTTTATATTCTGTACTTTGATTTTACTTGAATTTCTAATCGCACCGTCACCATGTCTGATGCCAAAAGTTCATTAAATAATTTTATATAGAAACTCGGTTATGGCTTATCAGTCATAGAAAAAATTATATACAACGCGTAAACATATGTGACAAACTCATAAACTTATATATATAGAGTTTATTTACTTGGCCTTGGTCTAATTTATACCGGTGATCACATTATTGTTTTATATATATTTATATTGTTATAAGTTATTGCGATAAAATTTATTTAGATATTTATTATTGATATTTTTATTCAATTAAACAATAAGAAATTGTAGAAAATAGTGCAAGAGTATTGGTTATAGACGATTAAAATCTACAAATAATTCAATAACTTTAGAATAAAACCTTAGACCGTTTGCGACTTCGAAGAAATTGAGGTAAAGTAAATTAAAATTTCCTAGGGATTTTTTGCACTGCACTTATGTAAACATTTATTTATTTATTTATTAAACATTTTATACAATTTTTATCTAATTTACCCTATTCGAAATTCTGGTAAATACCAACATACGCTGCTATACCGACATAATGTACTATTTTTCTCAATTTACCATCACTCGCACACGGCCTTAGTATAACTTAAAAGGGAACTTTTTCCAAAAATAAGTTTGGAATAAAAATGAGAATAAAGCCTTAATATCGTTTTAACGAATAGATCTGTATCAAAATGATCTGTTCTGTATAAAATTTGTATTCATTAACAAATTTGTATTCATTCGTTTGTCCCAAAACGACTACTCCATCTCATCACTGTAGTAGAAAACTAATTCCGTTTTGACTGTGAGGACCGGTTGTATATAATCCAATTTGCATTTTGGTGCATAATTTAATATATAACTTCAATATCTTTGAGTTCCTTGTGAAATGTAGCGTTTCAAATCATATATATTTGTTATACATGGGCACTACATAATAGATTCAATCAATATCATGCATCTATTGGCTTAAGCTGTTACACAAAATTCACAACTCACAGAATGTTTTTTATAAGTATCAAAATCATGTAAAGATAATGTTATAGATAGATAAATAGATGAATATCGCTAAAGCTATTGATTTATCATATTGCTTGAGAATATACATAGTAGCATAAAACTGATATACTAATAGAGAAACAGACAGACATACAAGAACATCATTAATAAAATACTAAAATACAGATAGAGTAACAAATAGGCAAATATATAGATGAATTTTGCTCCATCGATTGGTCTTGTCAGTCTCTTTAAGAATGTATACAGTAGCCGAAAAAAGAAAAAGAGATAGACAGGAGAATGTGTATAACGAAATAATGATTTGATAAATCATTCTGTTCAAAAAAACGTGCCTTACCTCTCCTTTTCTTCGCTAAAGCCATTTTGAAGAACTTAACACACGATTTTCACACTATTCGTAAAACATTACTGATACAATTGGGTTAACGACTTCATTTGTTTGAACCTTATCAAGTTATCAAGCTTTTACATTAAACTGATATTGATAGCATAACATTCTATAGAGAACTAAAAAAACATTATTATGCATATCAATTAATTTCAATCTGTTTTGAAATTTGTTATATAATTTTAAAATATTATTTTAACGGTTTTAAACAAACTACTTTCGAAGGAGCTGATGATAAAAATACGCACTTACCCATTCAGGTGCTATTTAATATTTTCAAAAGATGAACATTTTAATGGAGATAATGGCAAAGTAAATGGAGATGCCAGTAAATTCAAATTAGTTTATTAATTTGTATCAACTTGGAGCACAGTGGCATATAGTATTTATAAAAAAAATTTTTTAAAGTATATAAGAATTATAAATTCGTTAATAAGTAGTTTTGAAACTACACTATTTTAATTGTACTAAATCAGATCTAGTTATTTTTAAAATTAGTCACCATGAAAACATATATAGTGGTCATAAAAAAAATCCGGTTGAACTTCATCATTATATATATACTATATAATAAATAAATATCACGAATATCTAAACATGTTTTCATATGTGAAATTAATATATGAAATTTACCCCTATATTTTGAATATTAAACCCATGTTGTGGATAGTTTTGGAATTCGTTTTCACTTTACTACATCTCATTTTTTTCATTTCCCATTAAGCATATACTTTTTATTGTATCTCTTTTGTTTCCTGCTTATCGAAAATTTCAAGATTTGTCTAACCACTTGGATTGCAACAAGATATGTATTTAGACTTAACAATTTTGTGATTTTCCATAAGTTTTTCCATTATTTCGTCGAAGGTGGATGGTGATCTCAATTGGGTGTACGAACTTTTAGCGTAATTTCCACTCATTTATTCCATTTTCCACTAATCGTTATCTTTCTATCTTAACCTTTTTGTAATCTTTCCTAATGTTTTTAAGTGTTACTTATCAGGTTCTTTACAAAAGTTGAAATCTTATGGATTGCAACTATGTATGGATTTTGCGTCCATAATCTCCAAAATTAGAGAAAGGAGAAAGACTCCAAAATTAAAAAATTTGTTAAAATCAAAGTTACATTTATAGTTATGTGTCGATATACATATTTATGTTTATTCTGAAATTTAAAAGTACATTATTATTATGAGAGTTTAATACATTTATTAAGATATAAACGAAATAAAAACATATGTGAAGATTATAATACTTGGTTGTTACTATCTATATTAAGGACGCTTTCATCATTTACCTAAGATATGCATTTCGGGCTGCTATTTTGTTGTTATTTAATATGTATTCATCAGGTATACCTACCTGCTATATTTATCTACCTTTAAATACACTTTAAACAGTAACGTAAATAAGTATTACAAAACTGTTTGGAACAATTATTTTTGGTTCATTTATTTTCTCGTCCTAGTTATTATCTTCTCTGAACTGCTTTGGTGCACTTGGTAATAAATAATAGATAAATCATAGTAACTAAAATTGAAATATCATTAAGATTTGTACTGCATCGTATCTAATCTGTACCAGCTGACGTTTTTTTTTTGGCGCGATTTTTTTGGGTAGTTCTCTCATCTATTGTTTACCTGATTAAATTGATTTGCATTACCTAGATCTATATATAAACAACGTAAAATTAATTATCGCTAAAACAGTAAAGTATAAAAAGAAGTTAGAGAAAAAGAGAGAGAAAGTGAGAGGGGAAGAGATTTGGTGAGAGAGACACAAATGTCTAGAACTTTCAACAGTTCTTTAACCCTGAACTAGTCATCTATATCATCCCACTGTTATTCAGAGTGGAACTTTAATTATCGTTTTGCGATTAGAGAAAGAGGAACTTTAAAAAGGTATTAAAAAGTTAGAGTTAAAAAATTGAAGTGTATTTCAACTGTACATATAAACTAATAATAATTTTTATATAATTTATTTAAAAAAGTGTTTGTATTAATAATGACTTAACTGTTTAAAGAACCCGATTTTAACGTAATTTTTTTTTATATAAAAAAATTATACATTTGAGTGAGTTGAACTTTGTTTCTTGCCTGCCAAATGCTTGCTTACCAACTTTTAAAATGTTAACTTCTAAATGTTAACTTTTTGCGTTATTAGTTTAAATCCAAAAAAAAGAACTGAGTTGAATGCATTTCATAATATAGAGAGTGCTTAAGTATATGTGGCTTTATACACGTATCTCTATCTGAAAGTTGAAAATATACTTAAGTTTGTATGTATGTTTGTAAGGGAAAATAGCTAGAAGTGTTTTGCAATTTCTTTGTTTTTGTTTATCAACGCAAATAATTTTTTTTAATTTTAGGTGACGCATAAGTTCACGTCATTTATTTTGTTAAAGCATTTTTGTCTTCAGATAAATAAATAAATAAATAAATATTTTTTTTAAAAGTTTTTTTAAAAATTATTTAATTTGATTTATTAAAATTACAGTCTTCTTTTTGGAGTTTGGGCAGTTTAAGTGGTCGACTTAATTGGAGTTTTAGTGGTATTCCCAAAGGTTCTTTCCGCAATCGCAATAAATCCAGCCGCAAGAGGTAGTATGACTAAGCGTATTTCTCTTTCTATTAAATATACTAAGTAATTTTTTTTTTGATTAATTTCAATTTAGCCTAACATCGTTACAACAGCGACGTGCTAAGACTACATGGCATAAACCGCTCACAAATGCCATTTTCAATACGCATTTCAAAGAGTTAAGTCGCAACGAGGAATTCTTCATTGAAAATTTGATTGCCAAGGGTGCATTCGGCGTAGTTTTTAAAGTTGTCGATAAGCGTGAGGCAGCTGATAAACATGATTCGCAGGTTACGAAGACATACGCATTGAAAGTGTTGAAGAAATCAAAAGTGAATAATGCATAAATAATTATTTCTTTACAACAATAATTTACTTATCTTTAATTGTTGCAGATTATAGCAGAAAATAGCGTACAGCAAATTAAAGACGAAGCTGATATACAAAAACTTTGTGGTCATCATCCTTTCATAGTTCAACAACTTGATTCTTGGCAAAACAGACGCAATCTACACATACGTACGTTTCTTCTATTCGTTTTATTTTATTAAAAAATCATATGTTCATATTATAAATATTTTTTATTTGTTTACAGTTTCTGAATACGTACCAAACGGTGAACTTTTTTCCAAAATTGCTCAATTTTCCATTGACTTAATCCGTTTATATTTGGCTGAAATTGCACTAGCCATTGGTATGTATATTTACTATATAAAACAAAAATATTTATTGCTACAAAATAATAAATATAGGATAAGTTGTATAAGCATAACTTTTAAAGTTTTTGTAGATATAGTTTCTAGGATATTGAATGTATTTTGAGATATATGGTGTTTTAAAAGCATGTACTACAGCACATATCGAACATAATACCTTCACCCTAAAGTTAAAGCACTGGTACCTAAAGTTAGGGCACTTTAATACAAAATACCTGTTGTTATATTTCTGCCCAAAACGCAGCTATACTCCTTATGACGTCAACAATATTAGGAATTCTCCTGATGAAAGCAAAAGCGAATTTGCCGCTCGAAATATAAGTTAATATTCTTAAAAAAATAATACCGGCTTTAAAATAATTTCGACTTAATAACTGAAAAATTAAAAACAAAATCAACAAACCGTTTTTATCTCCCAATTCACACACCAATTTGAGCTCTATAGTTCAATGGCTTTGTTCCATTAAATTAAATTGGTTCTTTTTCCATGGCTCATGGCTTCATTAGACATGAACAAACCAAAGCAATATCATTTCTCAATAACCCCTCATCCTCCTCTTTCACATACCACATCTTAACCCTTGTATACATCTAGAATCTATTTATGTTTTTTGTTCTACAAACTGCAGGTTTCCACAGTAATAAAAAAATTTAAGTAAATGGTTTATGAGATATTTTTGAGTTGATCGTCTGTTTGCTTGTCTATTGACTAATTTACTGTCTGGAGCTTTTAATGTCGGCAAATTAGACTTTTAGTACTTTACTGCTTTGATACACATACCTACATTTCTACACTTCCTTATCTCTACCATTTTACTGCTATAATTTTATATTTCTGTGCTTCTATGTATATACAGAAGTATAATTCTATACTTTTATAGAAGCTCTTCTATATTTTTATAGTTTAATATTTCTATACGCCTGGGATTTACCAATGAATGTGTATCTAATTTGCTCTAGTACTCTAGTACATTTGCTCTAGTAAGTACAGAATGTTTTGACAGTACATTCTGTACTTTTATATTTTTGCTCTAGACTTCTGTACTTCTAAATTATATATATAAAAAAAACTAATAGGAGTGTTCTTTCTCATTGTAATTAATAATATTTGAATTACAGTTAATATTGAAAATTGTAAAAAAAAATAATAACTTTGAGAGTTCAGATATTACAATTACGTTCGTCATTATATTATATATATATATGTAAAGAATAGGATTAATTTCACTATTTTTATAAATAAGAATAAAGAATTATATCAAAAAAAAAAATACCAAAATACCAAAACTGGATAGTCTTGCTAATATATATATTTTTGGGTGCTTCTCTATTATCACCATTGCCAAGACTTCCATGTCAGTGTTTGTTTGCCTTGACGTTCGTTTCCAAACGTCACAATTCCAATCTTGCCTTCTCCATCTTATTCCTCCATATCTACCTTTTTTAGTTATACTTAAACTAATCAATATTCTAAATTTTTTCTATACTTTATATAGAATTTTATATTTATATTTAATGCTAATTCTTTTTTTTGATTTTTTCAGACTTCTTACATAACGCCGGCATTATATACCGTGATGCTAAACCTGAAAATATTCTACTGACAAATAACTATCATATAAAACTAACTGACTTTGGTCTCAGCAAGTGGCTTAAATTGGGAGCAACTACAAAAACCATGTGCGGCACTTTTCAATACATGGGTACGAACTTTTTTTCAAAGAATTAAAAAATCCAATAATCTAACCCTACTGTGTAAAGGATAACTGAAATGCAATGAACCAAAATTAAAATTATTTACCTAACAAATTATTTAACAATAGCTGCAGAAACACAAAACAAAAAAATAATAATTTTTCTCCATAAGCTGTGTACAAATTTACAGTGTGAAACTTAATTTCTGCTTCAGATTTAAATTTTTAAGCAGCCCTAAACAATCTTACGTATCTTGTACAAAAAAAAACCTAGTAACTAAGTCAATATATTAGTTCTTAAAATATATTACACCCTATATCCGCAATACTTAAAATTTACGTTTCTCAAAATGAATGCACGTTCACAAGTTTTTGACTTAACCATGGAGGGGCGTCAAGTTGATGAAGCTGTTGCTAGCATATTTCACACGGTGCTCTTTCATCGTTGCCTAGGCAAATACATGTACACTGGTGATGCACAATACTCCATTGGCACCGTCGGCTACACCGACGTCGATTGTGATTTCATTGATTTCACTTATGTCTGCTGCACATCTGAAACTCTCAGCCGCACTGTCAAACGTGCCATAAATATTTTCAGTGAAAAATTACGCTCAAATGAGAGTTGCGGCTCCGGGCAAATAAGTCTAGAGTTCTTTCAGAAGAAAAAATCACGCTGGCCGTTCCAGCAGGAATGTATACCATGGGAAGTATGGACCATACATTTAGATCTCATTAAGTATGAAAATGAAGACGATCGTCAAATGTGTCGAGAGAATGTATCCGATTTATTGACAGAGAAAGTTATATACATAACGGAGTTAATGAATCGACATGATTATGTACCCAAAACACCTAGTCAAAGTGAACTGAATCTAATATTCGATACATCATATCCGGATATTCAACCATATCTATTTAAGTTCGATTATTCCACAACTGGTTCGAGCGCACCATCAGTTGGAAATGCCATGAAGAAAATTATAAAAGAGACGCTCGCGTTGTGACTGCATGTGATGGTGACGGGTGATGGGTCAACATTGAGAACCACGACTTCGATTGTTGACTACGATGACGGTGTGCTGCGTGGGAAATGTGTAAATGACGAAACAAGTATTATGTTAACTCAAGTATGCGAACATGATGACAATGATAAGGATTATGAGAATTTCTATCAAATTCAAATGAAGAAACGTGAAGTTTATAAACCAACTTGTGTTGATAGGTCTACGATTGATGATCTCAAATCCATGCTGACCGCAATGGGAGGTTTAATTTTATTAGTTTTGTGTCATCATAATCGCTTAGATTCATTTTAGTTGAATATTTCAAGCTAATTTCAAGAATAAGACAAAGAGAGACGGCTAACATTATAGTTTTATATATTACTCAACATTTTTAGTATAATATTTTTAGTATAATATTTTTTTATTTATGTATATTTAAAGTTTTTTTTTTACAATTTACCAATAAATGTTTTAATGTTTGTATTACACTAACATAAAATTTTATTTATTTTATATAAAAATAAAATGATGTGTGGACAGAATTGTTTGTTTCAAATTGAAAATACAAAGCACATGTTTATAGTTTTTTTAATGAAAATATTTTATGTTAAAAGTAATTCACTATAAATAAGAAATAAAACAAATATGTTATATATGTAAAATTATTAATAATATTTTCACAAAAACTTTTCTTTAACAAATCTACTAAAACATGAGTACCTAATATTTAATTTTATATTTTAATATCATGCTTAAAATAAATACGAATAAATTATTTATAATTTGTATTTATATTTGTGATTTATTGTTTTTCATATTGATGTAATATGTAATATAGAGAAGAAAGTGATATAAGCAAATTATGTATGGCAAAGAATGGAATGTTGTTATATGATAGAGAATGAATATATATTTATATGTAATTTTCAATTAAAAACAATAATATAGTTAATAATTTTGCAATATTTATTATTAAGTAGTTACAATAACATAATTTCTCATTCATAAATATCAGATATTAATGTGTATTAAGAATCTGTCCCAACGTACATTTTTTAAACAAGAAATAAACGCTAAACTAGTGTTTTATATACGAGTATATAAATTTTTCTCATTAAAACTTTAAATTATACTTTTCAAAATAAATAGAAAAATCAAAATTTCATCTGAAACAATAATCATTTAAGATAATTTTATTTAATTTAGTTTATAAGAGTTTTTAGTACGTATGTTTGCACATTTTACAATGAATATGGGAACATTTACACCGAGACAAAATCATTTTAAAAGAAAATTTTTAAGGAGCAAGAAATTTTATTAAAAAAAAAACTTATTTCGAAAACCTATATACAAATTATTTTGAATATAAAAAAGAATGTAATGTAAAAGTAAAAGTATTTGGAAAGTTTAAATGTTGTTTATATATATGAGAAGAATCAAATGTTTTACTTATACGCAAAATCTGAAAAAATTATTAAGTGTATTTGTTTACTAATAATCACTAATAAATAATGTAGGAGTTTATACAAAATTGTGATTTGAGATTATTACTTGTATGATATATATATGCAATTGGCGTGCAACGACATATATATACTTTTTTTGCATATTGAAAAACACCAAAAACAAAAAACAATCCTTCAAAAAATCTAACCAAGAATTTTGCCTATGACACATCCATCCGCTGTTTATTTTGGCATTAAGCCTTTAAAGTATATATGTCAAATTACCCAAATATTATTTTGAAACCTATTTACTGTAACATATAAGAGAACCTAATTTTTATAGCATAGTTAACAGCAGAACCATTAATAATGTATGTAACTACCTAGTCTATAAGTTTTCATAAATTTATTTTTTAAGCGTTTCACTTAAGTTAAGATTTAATATATTTTACAAACAAAAAAAAAGAAATTATTTAAAAAATTGTGATTCATAATATTAATGAGAAAAGCTTTCTTTTGTATTTAGTAAATAAAAACTGTAGTACTGTACATGTAAATTTAGTAATATAATTTTAATTTAATATTAAATTTACAGAATAATACAAGCATATAAGCTAAGAGAACTTACTTTAATGTAGTGTTGTATTGAACGTTTTTAATAAATATATTGAATATTTTGCTAAAGAAAAGATTAAATTATTATTTATAAGTAGGTCTAGCAGAGAAAATGATGTTTAATGTGATTTGTTCTCTAAAGTACTTGTAAAAGAAAAAAAAACACTATTAAATAAAATGAAAAAGAATGTATGTAAATATTTAAAAAATAAAAAGAAACAAAATATATTGTATAATTATCCTTCATACGGCTCGTTGTTGTTTTTATTTTTGTTGTCCACCTTGTTGTAAGTCCACCTTGTTTATTTTAAGTTTTTAAACCTTTTTATTTTTCAGGTAAGTAGTAAAAATATTATTTTTTATTTTATTTTCAGCACCGGAAATACTACGTGGAGAGACCTATGGGCATGCAGTAGATTGGTGGTCAATGGGAGTTATAGTTTGTCAAATGTTCACACAAAAGGTAAGTTTTTTCAACTACTTAATAATAATATTGTTACGAAAAGAATACCTATTTTAAAATAGCATATTAAAATTTTAAATATTAATATTTTTTTAAAATAAAATAATTTCCATCATTAAAAAAAAAAATTCTTATAAAAAATCTTCTTCACTATGACACCTTTTTTCTATACAAAAGAGTAGATAACTTAACCAATCACAATTTCCCAGGCACGTCCATTTGACAACAGTTTTCTGGTAAATTATATTTTTCTGAACAACCTAAAAATTTTTATGAGATATCGGACTTCGAAGTTAAAAATTATTATTTATTTAATTTTTATATATAACAAGTATGTACGTCTATATTTTGTTACCAGTTGTTTGTGTAATCAAATTGGAAATTGGCGTTAGATGGCTTTAATGTAATCATAATCTATGTAAAAAGTTTTTAACTCAATATCTAAAGAAGTTAGCTATATCAGCTTAAAGAGTAGTGGAAAAAGTCTCAAAATAGGTGCTATAATCCGTTGATTAATGGACGTGCATGTTATGTCTATAAGTTATCATTACGTTATTAAATTATTTAACTTAGATATTAATAAAAAATAAATAATATAAATAACTGAATAAAAGTTTTTCATGCTTGGATAAGTCTTAACAACCAATATAAATCAATAAAATCGGTATTTTAAAGTTTTATAATTATTATACTATAAGTACATATTATTATAATTATATGGAGTGAAAGCTCTGTCAAACTATGTTCTCATAAATGGAAATTTTTCATAAGGTACAGACATATAGATGCTCTCTGTCAAGGCGATATTACTCTTGAATTGCTAAAATTTTACTCACTGCATTTGATATGCATATAATTTTATTTATGCATATAATTTAACATTGATTCATTGCCTTATATAAACTACAGAGTCCCCAGAGATAAAGTATACATACATTACTATACATACCGTATCTTATATGGATGCTGGTATTATAAGTCCCAGCACACATTTAAAATCTATGAAATTGAAATGGTCGTTCACTTAGCTCGTAAACCTTTAACCGTACCATTGAATACAATTTTATATTATATTATATTATTATTATATATTTTATTATATATAATGTAATAAGTATATTATGAGTGCTAGATTACAACGGGAACTTTAGAGATGTTACCAATAAACTTCCAAACTATAAATGCACTGTTTCATCAGAACTTTTCTGTGGAATACAAGACATGAAATACACCAGGGTATGCAGAAATTCATGCTAATGGTTTTGATACTAGAAGAGTTCTAAAAACTAATGTTATAGTCAACTGGATGTCATCTACTTAGCGTTGTTATATATGTAATATTCACAGAAACCATGCGATATCAAACAAGAAAAGTTGAAAGAAATTCTTTTCTCTCTATTTTACCAAAGAAGTTGGTGAGCAAAACATATAGGTGCACTTTACTGGGTGCCTAGACATATTGAAATTTATGACAATAATTCTGCCGATGATCTAGGAGGAACCAAATCAAACATTAAGTCATGCTTTTCCGAACTTTATTTATGGAATAACATGGTCCACAACTAATGTCCTATAAAAAACTGACTTGTAACCTGAAGAAGTGGCTACTGGATCGTTTAGTAAACAGAACTAAAACCATTGGCATTATTTGACGGATTACCGTCTTTTGCGTTACTATCTTAATAAAATGAAGCTTTCTAACAAGACACTGTTGAGTTTGCATTGAGGCAATTGAGACGTCCAGTTATATTATTTACTTCTATCTGTTTGAGGGGAGGAGAACAATAATCCTGGAGCTGTTATCTTTGTTTAATAATTCTTATTAGAAGGTTTTTGATTTAAGTTGCTTTCTGTGGTATAAAATCGTTAAAAGTGCAAAAATTTTTTAGTTACCAATTTTGTTAGTTTGATATATAAATCTTAAGTATTTTTTTTTTTATTTTTGATGCTTCTTGAAATTACTTTACAGTACTTTTGCTGAATGCTGTCAACTCAATTGAAGCGAATAGAAAAATTCATGTGAATGGAATGTTTTGAAAATATTTGCTTTACAAATTAAACTTAATTTATAATCAAGTGTAAATGCGATTTTATAAATTTTTTTTCTTTCAATCCCCAGTTTGTACCTCGGCACTTGTTTAAATTAAATCTAATAATAAAAAATTGACTCAAATTACGTTTAAGAATGCCTACAAAAATTGTGCATGTACTAAATGAGCTTCAGAAAGTAGCAACAGATAAATATGCAATTTTATAATGTTTCCATTGGGACTATTATTTCGTAATATAGTTTTAAAGATACATATTATTATCTTGTTATTATTATATTATTTATGATTTAATTTTAATTTATTTAAAAATCAGTTTGAAAAAAAAAATAATGTTGAATGGTTATTTATCATCCTATTCAAAAGGATGTTTTCTATTGAGAAGTTCCTTCTTTGACAGGAGTTAGAATGACTGAGTTTAATCTTTGAAATTCAACTATATTTTTTCCAGAGAATTTTTTTATAATTAAATTATTTTATTTTTATTATACTATATAATTATTTGAAGTGAAACTATATCTGCCGATCAGCCACTGCAACATCTCTATAGTTGTAGAGGAGTTCTTATGAAAAACATATGAAACAATTAATATAGTACTAAAAGCAGTTATGAGCCCCAATAGCATTAATGTCATTTGTCTGCTATTCACGCCGATCATGTACTATACATTACAATCTATATGTTATTGCTTTTTATTTCTTTAAGAAACGAACTGGGTTATATCCCTCATATTACTGTGAATAATAATATCAGTTTTATTAATATATATATAAAGCGATAACGGATATGTTGTACCGTGTGCTCTGTAAGAGAGCAACAAATCTTACAAGAATTACAAGAATTGACATTCATAATTCTGTCAAAATAATAGAATGAACTCAGTTAAAATTTTTTGGATATTACTTCCCCAAGCAAGATTAAAATTTCAGATTCGTTGTGGTGCTATAGAGAAATTTTTAATCACTTTGGCTCATTAAAATTTTACCCTATACTTTGTAAAAGAATGAAAAGATTATCAGAGAAATAAAAACTCGACTAAAGGATTTCTTGTTAATGAACCAAAAATACAGAAGGGCAAAATAACTTTTTCTTTAGTCTTAGTTTAATTCAGTGCTAGCAAAATGCACTTTAATGCAAAATATGTTGGAAAAAACTTAACGGGGACATTCCGTTCTTTATTCAAAAGTCTGAAGTTATTCTATTAACAACCATATTCATCCAAACCATTTATTCTATTTTACTCTAGCATTTATTTATTTTGCATTTTTACCGTAAGGGCCATGAATGTAATCGTTAAGTGCTATATTCTTACGTTTAGCATGTGATACACCTTTTGTCATGTCATCAACTATTCCATTCTATAAAACCATTCTAAAAAAAAATAAAAGCAATAAGTTTCAATTTTTTTTATTTATTTTTATTTAAAAATCATCTCAGTCTATAGATAAAAAGAATCATACTTCATACAATTAAATTACGTTATATTTCGGTAAGTTTTCCCAAAGATTTTCAATATTTAATTTGTGAGATTTTTGCGACGGTTCAAGAACTTCTATAAAATTTTCTCCTTCACGCTGACGATCGCTGCCTTTGCATAATTAATTCCGCAAAGCAAAGCATTAAATAAAATTAACATATTTTTTTACGTAAATATTAAATTGTAAACTAACTTAACGCACAAAACATTATTCAAAACATAAAATTATAAATAATTAATTGTTTAAAAGTAATCATAAAATAATTCAGATAATCATACGTTACAAAGTAGAAATCAATTCTTCAATACAAAAGTGCAATTAGTGTGTAATGTGTAATATGTAATGTGCCGTGTTGTTGTGCAACTCGCAAAATTTTTACATAAAATTATTGTAAATTAACTATTGCAGTGTTGGCCTTTAAGAAAGATCAATAAAGATTGTGGGTTATACCCCCACATTCTCTTTTCACTTTCCTCGAAACGTCCTTGAGCATTGTTTGCATTTCAGCTAAAGCTGTCTGTAACTACTCTGTAATTAATTCAATTAATTAATTAATTAGCAATTAACTACAATTGTAATGCATTTACTTGCCGGTCTTCTGTTAAGTGTGGAATGACTAAATTAAGTTTAATTTTTTTCTTGTTCTTATTAAATAATTTTGTCATTTATGTGCTGTTGGAGTGTACTTAATTTGTTAATTAATTAAATGTAATTAAATTATTAAATACTTGTTATGCATAATAATAAGTAAGCATATGTTTAATTAATTATATTGCTTTCTTGCCATCTTATTGGTTTGTCCTTGTATATTTCACTGTGTGTGAATGTGTGCTTGTGTGCTTGTGTTGTGTATATGTGCGTATGTGTGTCAGTTTGTGCATGTATTTGTGTTTTTGTCGTTGTATTTGTTGTATTTGTTGTTTTAAAGTTAATAAGCCGATTTATTTAAAAAAATATAATTAAAATATTTATTTATCATTAATAATATTATTATTATGTATTATGTTATGTTAAATTATAATTAATTTCTAACTTTTCCGTTTTTATTTATTTTCCTTACATTATGCTTTCCTTATGAGCCATTATAATGTATCGGTCCCTGGAATCTGTCCGTTTTTGCTTCAGTTTTATTTTTACAACTTAAAGTAACTAACTAAATACTTAAGACAATTGGCTTGTAACCAAGTGAGAACGTTAGGAGAATGAGCAGCTATAAGATGAATGATCACACGATGCGTATGTTGTGTGGGCGGGAGAGAAGTATGCAGTTATCTTCTTTTTGTTTTTGTTTTTGTTTTTTTCTTTTTTTGTTTATATTTATTTGCTTAATTGTGGTAGTGGGGGGAAAACCTTAAGCCATTAAGCTGACTTAACGCATTTAATTGGTTTTATCTTCCTTGGATTCTTCACTTTCTTTGGATTCTTCGGTTTCCTTTGATTCTTCGGATTTTTTGTTTTCAGCGGATTTCTCTTCAGAAGTTTGTTTCTCCTCGGATTTCTTCTCTTCTTTAGTTGCTTTCGTTTCTGGTGTGATTTGTTGTTCTGTTGGTTTACTGGCAGTGGGTTCTTCAATTTTTTTGGGTTCAGCTACTGGTGCTGGTGCTGGGGCAGATGCAGCAGGTTCGGGTTGAGCAACTGGTAGTGCTTCTGGTGCGGGAATTTCAGCCGATTTTTCTTGTGGCAGAGATTTTGCAAGTTCTTCAGAAGAAGGTTGTGGTATATCACCAGCTGGTGCTTGTGGATCTTCAATTTTCTTTTGTGCTGGTAGTGGCGCTGGTGCAGCAATTTTTGCGGCTTCTGGTTCAGTAGCTTCGGCAATAGGTTCTTCGGCTGGTAGTGATTTAACTTCTGGTACTGGTACGGCAACAGCTTCAACTGGTTTTGTTACTTCAGCTACGCTGGGTTCTTCAGATTTTAGACTCTTAAGAACTGGCACAACTTCTACGGGTGTTTCAACGGCAACATTATCAACAACTTTATTTTCAGCTACCTGGACTTCTTCAACTTTTTCAACTTCAACTCCACGGCGTTCTTGACGAATAGCAGATTCTTCTTTCTTCTCTTCAGCTACAGCAGCAATTGGTGCAGGTTCAACAGCTTCAATGACATTTGATGCAGCTGGTACAAGTTCAGATTTAACTGCAGGTGCACTTTCAACATTATTTTCTTCTTTATTGGGTGCTTCAGCAACAATTGGTGAGTCATCTCCTAAATCAGATGATTTTCCAACTGGTTGTACTTCCTGCACGGCTGGTTTAATTTCATCAACGATTTGCTTTGTGGTCTCAACAGCTGAAACTGGAGCATCTACAACTGGAACTGATGAAACGGTTTCGGATTCTTTTTCAGCGCGCAATTGTTTTTCAGCGAGCTTTTCCTCTTTCTTTTCTGGCACGGCTTGTGTAATCTCAGCATCTGGTGCATTGGCAGCCAATTCAAGTTTCTTTTCTTCTGTTAAGGCTGGTGGTGCAAGTGGTACATCGGTGGCTGGTGCAGCTGGAGCAAGAGGTACGAGTGGAGCAAGCTCATCAGCAGAACGTGATTCTGGTTTAACAACTTCAACTGGTTTCTCTTCGGACTTGACAACTACTTCGGGTTTAACTTCTGAGACAACTGATTGCACAGGTGAGACTTCCTCATCTGGCACGGGTAAAGCAAATGCGCTTATTAAAAGGGCGGATAAAATTACTAATTGGAACTTCATTTTGCTGAAATAGAAAAAAGAATACATTATTAAATATTATATTGCTTAAGAAATTCAATATTTATAAAGTGTTTATAACATATGTAATGCCAGCTAAGATTTTGACTAAACTATATATATATATATATATATATATATGCATAACTATTCAGTTCTTAAGGTATTCACACACATTTGTAGTAATAGTATCTGTGTATTTAAATGTGACTACATTACTAAATTTGTTATTAATTTTCACTCTATAGAGCGGCTTCATAAAGAACTGACCGTATTGCATTACTCGTAGTAATTGGGTAATTGCAGTTAATGATCATTTAAAGGGGCATAAGAAAGATTGACACACGCTTTAAATTTGATTAAAGCTAATTTTAATTCATTTGTTGACCGACTATAAAAGTTTAAACTTTGACTAAACCAAGACGGAAGCTTAAAATTTAATTTACAACAGTAGCGTCTTCGGGCATTTTTAGAAGATTCTCGATCTGCCAGAGCGGGTTTATTCCAGATACGTTTATCATACGATCGCCAAGTACAAGTTCAACGCTTTTAGCTATGTACGTCAAGCTGCAAATTGATTTTGTCGCTGATTTGTAAATGAAAAATGTAGGACAAAAGTATCTGAGTGTGATTGATGTAGATAACGTGAAGTGCAGTTGTAAGATTATTAGGTGCCACAATAAATGCATTGTTGTCTATGCGATATTTAAATGTTGTGGTTTTAGTAGTTAAGTTGTAAAACTAAGTGACATTAAAAGGTTTTATAAGTTAAATTATTCTGGTACCACACCTCTTATAGTTCGCAATTTTAATCCATATCTTTTAGTAAACTTGATAATAAAGTTTCTCTTTTAAGGGTTTTTATTTGTATTTGTGATTAACGGGTACGTCTGGGTTCATTAAATTCAAAAATTTTCCTGTTTGTTTAAGGTACCAATCACTCGCAAGTACGCTTATATACATTATTAGGAAGGTGTTAATTTTTCTCATGATCAATTTTATGTTATCAGTTTTTATTTTTATATTCAATAAAATGAAAGCTTATTTAATTTTTGCAATTAAAAAAATATCTTTATAATCATAAGACTTGTTTAAAAGTATGAATTTTATAAAAAGTCCAGACTGCCTGTCGTCAATTGAATCTTACCAGTTTTTCGTTGGTAAAAATGCCTAATGCCTTGTAAGATGAACTCGCATTGGAATGATCTCAAAACCAGCTATTTAGTAAATTAATGCATAAAATAAGTTAGCTGGTAAACGAACTATTAAGCAAGATTTTTATTAACAAGTATTTTGAGGCATTATTTATCTAACCTCTATTGTAAAGAGTATTTGTTGTATTAAGTAACATAAGATATATGCAATATAGTAAATTATAACAATATGCAAGATATTCAGTTTACCACATACCAGTTTAATTTTAAAATAGTATTTTTATTGGAGTGGAAAGGAAGAAAAGGGAAAAGTACTACCTGAATTTTTCCCTTGCAAAAGGTCCACTAAGGAAATGTTCCACTAAGGAAGTCTACAAACTTAAGTGTGTGGTGGACATCGAAATATATCTCTTTTTTACCAATCTAACTTGTATTTATCGATTATATCTTTATCTATTTATCTGAATATCTTCATGCAGTCCCCACATGATCATTTGGAAACTTCAAGTAAGTTATCTATTTATCGATAATATTTTTATCTATTTATCTGAATATCTTTGTATATTTATTTGAATAATACCATATATACCATATACCATATAATTTTTGATGGAATTTCTAAGCGCGAAATATCTATTTACCGATTATATTTTTATCTATTTATCTGGATATCTTTGGAACTTTAAGTAAATTATCTTTTTATTGCTGATATCTTTATCTATTTATCTGGATATCCTTATATATTTACCTGAATATCTTTATTCAGATACCACATCATCACAGTGAAACTTCTAAGCGTTTGTTAAAATTTTTTAATAATATTTTAGTTGTAGTAAATTTGATAGAACTACCTTGGCGACTTATGGGTTATCTTTCAGCTGATAATAATCTAATATAATTATTTTAAGCTTTTTAAAGTTAATGTCATAAAGATTTCTTGTTTCTATTTTTTTAAAAATTAATTGTTTTTAAATATGTAAGATTTAAATTATTCTATTTTTTCTTTTTAATTTAAATTGATTTTATTATAATTGATATTTCAGGTTATGTTAAGTATTATTGACTATAGCTTAGAGCTTAAATAATGAACATTTAGGCCAAGATAACGCCCATTGTGATACCACATAATCACATAATCACATCTCCAATCTCGCCAATCTTGAAACCAAATGGTTATTATAAATGGTTATTAAGATAAATTTATTTTTTTATCGTTATCGATAAATCACGTATTCTATAATTCGTAACCTTACAGCTATAAATTAAGAAAACTGTTTGGTTTCTGTAATTTATTATGCACAATAAAATTTTTAAATTTTATGTAAATTTGACATGCATTTTATAATCCAACCAGTCAAGTCTGTAAGTGGTTCTTTAATATATGCAGATTAAGACAGACGCTGACGGTAACTCGAACTGTACGAGCATAAGAAAATTAGTCTACCAATTCAATTTTAAGGAAATTAAGTTAATTAAATGAATTTAATACGCATAAATTTATTTGAAATTGATTTCGACTATTAAGTATAACTCCCACTAAAACAAAAAATAAAAAAAGAAGTAAGACCTCTTGAGACTCTTGAGAGTTGGTTTTTTGTTATTGCCCCCGTTCCACATAAACTGTGCTCGTTATAATGCAAGAAAAAAATTTTTATAAAAAAAAAAATAAATAAAAAAATTAATATAAAAAAAAAATTAAATATTAAAATTAATAAAATTAATATAAAAAAAAATAAAATATTAAAAATAAAAATGAAATAAAATAAAATATAAAACAAAATTAAATAAAATAAAATAAAAATAAAAAAAATAATTCGATACAAGCTTTGCTAAATAAAAATTACATAATTTCATATAAGTTTATCGCTGCGCCTGCCTGTCTTGGACCTGGACCGTCGTTTTTCGTCCGCATATTTTCCGTAAAAATTGTTAAATAATTTCAAGTGGCAAAAATAAAAAAAAAAATTGTAAAAAATTGGTTCCAGAAGCAATCAATATGTCATGCGTACATTGACTTTTAATCGAAGATTTTATTATTTGCAGCGCAGTAGGTGAAAAACTTGTTTTCACTAAAGAATAGACCCACTAATCAAGCAAGACCAACCAGCAACCAGTAACGAGCCTTCTTCTCTTGGTGGTGTTGTTAGTGATGTTAGTGATGTTGTTGATGTCGTTGTTGTTGCTGTGAGCGAACCCCAGAGCAGGATTGATTTTGTATGGCCGCCCCACGCTGTGAATTTGATTTGCTTTTAAATCAAATTTTACTGCTTGCTGTTCTTTTATTTTGGTACGAGTATCTTTAAGATACATTTTTTTTCTGCTGCCCGTGCCAAACATTTTAGATGCTGATAAGTCACAAACGCCTTTTGCGCCGTGAACAGTGTGCACAGCAAATAGTGTGCCTTGGTTTGGACTTGCTGAACTGCTGCTGGCTTGGCTTGGCTCGGCTCGGCTCGGTTCGGCTCTTATGCTCTACCGCAACCACTTGAAAGCTGCAGCAAAACTTGCTGACAACGTACAAAGGCTTCGCTGTGGCTGGTCGCAACGAAGAAACCAAGCACTGCAAAGACTGTTAATTCTTAGGCATGTTCTTGTCTTGCCGAGGCAGGGTTTGGCATGGAAATGTTGTACACCGTACCAGTGAACCAGTGTGGGCACGGTTGTATCAATAATTTGCTTGATTTGCTATTTTGTATAACTATTTTTTTGCCTTATAGTTATTTTATTGATCACGTTGCTGTATCGTAGTGACTTGTTATGTTAGCTTTAGAAAATGTTTGAATATTTATTGTGGATACGATTACAGATTGAAGTATCTTATGTGGTGCGCTTTGGTAATGCAGTTAATGGCAGCGTTCGTCGTTTGCAGTCCGTCGTCCGTCGTCTGACGTCTGCCGTCTGTCGTCCGTGTTAGTGTTTGCAATTTAATTACTCATATAACAAGTGCTTTTCGTAATTAAGCTTGCCTTTACCTGGTCCGCTTGGCGTGGTTAAGCCTTTCTTGCCTGCTCCCTCCTGCCTGTTTGACCGTTCGGTCGTTCGACCGTTCGATTTGAATTGTGCATTCTTGAGTGGAACTACATTTGCTGTTGCTGTCTCGTTGCCACAAAACAATTTGATGCAATTTCATGCATTCGTTTCATAATTGAACTTTGCTTTGCGGACATGGTCATTGCTGGCTGGCTGCCTGCATTCGGTTCTGGTTATTTTAATGAGAATTAAAAGAATTTTTTTTTCGTTGCTGGCATTTACATTAGGTTACCTTGAATTTTCAAATGCCGTTTTGTTTAATTTTTTGTTTTTTTTTTGTAAGAACTTAAATTTTACAATTAAACGGAAAATGTTCTAATTCGAAAGAACCATTAGGAGCTCAGTGTCTAATGAGAATTGAGTCAGATAATTATATTGTTAGTATATGAAGTGGATAAATGCAAAAGCGGTTATGAGATAAGATTTTTAGATACAAATATATAATATAAATAAACTGTCTCTGATTATGTAAACTTATAGGGTTTGCGAATAAAACAGTAGCTCAACTTTTAATTAAATTTTAAAATTAAAACAAAGCGTCTTTGGTAGGCAAAAGCAGTTTTAATATTTATTTTAAAAAAGTTTTGCTTATTAAGCATTTAAACACGGTAACATTATCCTAGTTAAAGAGCTAAGCCAATAGAATATCAAGTCTTAACATTTAGTCTTGATGGCTTAGTTGTTGTTGCATGTACAGATTAAGTAATTGGCATAAGCGAAATAAAATGTCCAATATATCCAATATAGTTATAGAATCGAACGAAACATCGAATCGAAGAACACGTCAGTCACCTAAGGACCTGAGGTGATGGACGCATTAGTAAGTGGAGTACTTAAAAGATACTGAATTTGATTAGATGTCATGTAATATGTTTACTCGCTAGATTTGTAAAACGAGCTAGAACAATTCTAAAAGAGGAATTCTTTCTTCTGAAATAAATGGGTGAGATTTAATGATACCGTTGTTTTGTACTCCGTGTAAACACTGGAATATAATAGACGAAAACAGAACCTTTATTAAAAACTTTTGTAGTTATTTTTTGCTTGTTAACGCTTTTCATTAATAATTTTCCACATACCTTTATAAGAAAGGTGTGAGCATTTTGTGATTATATGGAACTTGAAAATCATACTATATCAATAAAAACCGAGTGAGGTTGATTACATTTTATATATTATGATCAATGGCAAACCACCTACATAGGAGATTGCGTTTGGAGAATTTTTTTTATTGGAGACCCACATAATTATATTATTGGAGAATAGTTTTATAAGACCATTGCGTGCAATAAATATATGACCGTTATCATAAGAAAACAAACGTGCCTATTGTTAGTTGCTACTTTATTAATAAAGTAATTAGGTTTCCCCAGTTGAAACCATCTATAGTACATTTTTCGTAATTCACACGTTATAATTACTAATTACGGATATAAGGAGGCATTATTCTTATAGCCTCCTGGCTTTAATATTTTTAGGAAATCAGTTTATATATAAACTGATTTGTATTTCATAAAGATTAGCTATAATTATTTGAAATATAATATGAAGGTTGTGTCATTAACTTTATTAATGGATGCTAAAGGCTCTTTTAGAGTTATAACTCACGCCAAAGAAATCTTATGATTAGTTATATTGGCATTTGATAATCGTTATTAATTTTAAGTTCTGCTTGAAGTTTATGTTGGAGAACAGTTTAGCCGTGATTAGGTTGAAGTGGCGGCTTATTACATTGTTTTACCACAATGGTCTTGAAAAACAATAATTAAATTAATTTTATTAAGGCTCACTTAACGAATTGCAGAACAAAAGGCTCTCTAAAGACTCTGTTCAATTAATTCTCTAAATTTATGATAGATCAATCGTCTCCATTACAGTTACTAACATAGTTAAGCTTTAACAATTAAGTTAAATATATATATTATTATACTAAAATTTATTACTTATATTAGTGACTGATTTAGTCCTCTTCTTAAGATACTAAACCCAAAACCCCATAGTCATCTAAAGGCTACGCACTTTTCGTCTATATTCATTAGATTTTTGTTTTTTTTTTTATATTTTCCGCATGTCTTTGAGTCTCCGTGGTTCCATGGTAGTTTCCACTCATGCTGAACTGGTTTCGTTACGAATTGCGAGTTTCAATTCAATGTCAAGTTTAGGCAACTCAAGTGCCTTTTTAATTTTTGTTCATTTAATTTTATTCTTTTCGGAATGAAAGACCAGAAAAATGATAAAAAAATTTTATTAAAAGAATAATTACAATTTCTATTATTCATTTTTTTTCGCACTTTTTGAAGTGTAGAAATTTTTTTTGCTGAAATTTAAATTTAATTCTAGAAGAATTCATTGACCCTCCTTTTAATGTAGTCAGAAGAGCATCTAATTTATTTTACTTAACTAAGCTCATTTCAAATTCAAACGTGATTAAGTAATTTGACTTTTTTTATTTAATATATTTTCATTGTACTTGTAATATAATACACATACATATAATGAAATTAATTGATTATATCAATAAAATTTGCCAATTTTATTTTTGTTGTATAAGAAATTGCCAATTCATGGGTGTAAATAAGAGAAAATACTTATATCACAGATGTTTATGAAATTAATTATTAAAAACATAGAAAAATTAAATGTTTTAAAATTTGCAAAATTTAATTAACACCTATATTCTAAAAGTGTGTGGTTTTGCGATAATATAAAATTATTTTTTTCATAAATATGACCTACTGATCCGAATAGTTGTCATCTCTAGTAATCAAAAAAAATTGAACTGATTAGAAAGTTTTTATTATACTTAAAATTTGTGATTATTAAGTATTTTAAATTAAAATTAACAAATAAATAATATGTTAAAACATGACAGATCTAATAATAGGATTACTATCTAACAGCTGATAGCTTGTATAGAAATATTATATTGCAATGGTCGATATAAAAGTACCAGGTCTCAGTTTCACTGATAGTAGTCTAATTTTCTATGCTGATATATTTATTAATCATTTAATAAATTTAAATTAATATCATTAAATGATATATTATTGCTTTATTTCTTTAAAGCATAAGCATAAGTCGCTTATCAAGAGACAGAATAGTATATACTATATATATACTGTTACATCCAATAATGACATTTGATTACTATAATATAAAACTACAAAAAATCTTAAAGCAAACTATTTATTACATTAATTTTAAACTTAATAGAGCTTTGCTATTTATTTAGTTTTCAACAACAAATGGTTTCAAAATGGACACTTCCTAATTGATTGGGAAGTGTCTAATTGATTGGGAATTGGGCCAAATAATATATATTACATGAGTATTTTATATTAACAAATAAGAACACCTAATAATTTACACACTCCTACGATTTACACTACAAAACAAGGCTTGCTCAAAAAGTGATGTAGAAAAGCACTTAACTGCTTTGTAAAATTTTAATTAAAATACAACTTATTAGCGTATTGGAACTACAAAAGGATGTTGATTTTTAATTATTAAAAATTAGAAAATTACTTTCTTCTTATTAAACAGTATTAAAATAAGCTCGAGTATCTACTTCTATTCCTACTGTAAATATATGATGGACTCATACAATAAATCCCAATAACCCAATAGCTTATTTTTGTTTTTGGATAATTGGTTAAATATTTTTATATTAAAAATATTATTTAAATAATTATTATTAGATATGTGTTTTAAAAGAAATTGGATATTAAATTCGATATTAAATTTGCTTATAATATAAAAAGAGTAATTTTTAAATATTAATAATTAAATTAATTTTTTTTGTATACTTATAAGATTTGAAATTAATAAAGAAGAATGAAGAAATGGTGTTCTTTAATTTTTTTGGCGTTAAAATTAAAATACAAAGTTTTAAAAAAATTAATTACTAATTTTGAATTATTTTTTTTCCATTTTCAACTTTAAAACTTTTTAAAATAGTTAAATAATAGTAAAAGAATTTCTTTTTTTTTAATTTTTTGAAAATTAATAATTTATAGCTGTTTTATAAAGTATATTTGTTTTTATGTATAAAAAAATAACAAAAAAAAATTAATTTCAGAGTAAAATATGAAATATAATTTACTAAATTAAAAAAAAAAATATATATATATATATGTGAAATATATATGTTATATGAAAAATATATATATGACAAAAACACGACAGTATATATGGCGAAAGTTTAATATATATTCGAACACTTTTGGTAAATAAAATATTAATTATTCTAAATAATATAAAATGAAGAGTAGGGTTAAAAATTTATTTTAGAAAATTTGATTTAAAGATGCTAATCGGAATTAATTGTATTTCAATGAAAAATATGTTATAAAAATTCAAATTTAAATTAATTTTAATCGAATTTAGAATCTTATTTGTTTTTAAATTTTAATCGAATTTTGTTTTAATTTTAAATCTTATTTCTTTTAAGTCTTAAATTAATATAGAATATTTAAGATCTAACATTTCTGTTATTTTTAATATAACTATAAGTTTGACTTAATAAAACATTTTATTGAAAATTCACTGCAAATACTTTAACACTTGGTAAAAATAAATAATTTTAGTTTTTATTCTTTATCTTAGTACAAGTCCTTTTTTATCTATATATAGAAACACTTAAAATATTTAACTTTTCTGCACTTAACTCACCTGTAAATTTTACAAAATTGTATCTCAAATATTATTTCAACACAATTGAACTTTTATTTATCACAATTAAACGAATTGTCTAAAACACAAACAATTCGAATATTTCGAAAACAAAAAAAAAATTGAAATCTTTTACTTCCAAACAAAACCAAAAGGATTTTCTCAAGAATTATTTTTTAATCCAAGAATGTATCTCAGTTTCTTTGCTTCTTCACTGCTTTGTGCACAGCGGTCAATTTCAAAATCAACTTTGAATAGATTCAAAGATGCACACACTTTATATATACGCTCAGTGTGGTGAAAACTGCCAACTAAAGATGATAGATACTTTTTTCTTTTTGTGTATTCGCGCTCCCATGGAAAATTTCGCACTCTTCGATTTATGTTTGCAGCATAGATACACACAGTTGCACTTGTTGCTCTATACATATGTGCACCACTAATCGCACACTAGTGTTAGTGTAGTGTGTGTAGTGTGTGTTTATCGTCTGTTTGTAGTTCGCGACTTCGGCTTTAAATCAGAACAAATGAACATTTAAGTCATGCCTCGGCTCTTGTGTAGTCAAAGGCTTGCTTACAAATACATGCGCTCGTGCAGTATTCGATCGCTTTTATGTTTAACTTAATGGAGAGAGAGAGAGCACATAATCACATAATCGTTCTTAGATAATTCTATGTTTTTTTGTATATGAAACTGTGGTGAATAATGTGTAAATATTGTGCAGTTGGTTGTTGTGGGTGGTGAAGTATTTTTATGACTTTTTTTTGCATATCGTTAGCATAAACGTTACCTCTGCAAAGAAGGATTTGCAATAATTATTTATTAGTGCTGAGGATTAAAGGATATTAAATGTATTTAATCCTTTGTTTAAAAAAACTATTATAATAATAAAAAGTGCTAAAAATTAAAGTTGGAAGTCGATTAAAATAAATAGAGTGATGAAGGAATATGATGACATTTTTTTTAGAATAATTCTTAGTACACAAAAAGAACATATATAACTATTTTTTTACTCTTAGTTCTCAGAAAAAGAAATACGCAAAAATAATTTATGGGTGCCAAGCCTTGTATCAAAATAAAAAAAAATGAATTTTATTTTAAATTATAAATTATTAAAAATTATAAAAAATCAAATATAATATGCAGCGAAAATAATATAAAAAAACATTTCCATTAAAATAACATAAAAATGTAAAATATAATTATAATAAAATTTGTGATACTAAAAAATTTGATTTAAGAAATTATTTTAAATTATTAAGAATAATTACTTAATAAATATTTTTAAAAACAAAAAAAATAAAAATAAAAAACATCACTGATTGGCACTACTCGAATTAAATAAAAATAAAGTTTCGTTGTTCTATACTAATCAAAAACCTTTCTATTTATTATATTTATTATTCTATTTATTATTTCTAAAAAATAATAATAAAAATATTATTAAAAAAAACAAATAAAATTTATAATATAATTATAAATAGAGATTTATAAATATAAATATTATAAATAAAGAATAAAGTTTACTACAAAAAGAATAAAAATTTTTTAGTATTGTCGGTCAAAATAATTTTCGTAAATCTAATTAAATATTAATATATTATACAATATTATAATAAAAATATGTTAAAAAAAATATGCAAAAAAAAATTAAGATAGTAAAGTGACATATATATATAATATTTCAGTCAACATAATTTAAAATAAATATATAATTACATAAAAAATATAAAGGTTTTCGAAAAATGGTGAACTACAAAACAAATATAATTATTTTATAATTTATTACTATTATAATTATAATAAAAGTATATTTAAATAAAAATATTTAAAAAATGAAGATAATAAGTGAAATATTATTTCAATCCACATAATTTAATATATTACGAGTATAAAAGTATTATTAGAAAAAAAATATATTAAAATAGATGTGATTAAAAAATATATTCTGATATAAGAAACAATCATTTAAATAATGTTTAAATACTTATATAGAAAAGTGACATTATGCAATTTAATATAATTAGTTTTTTAATGTAAAAATATATATAATAAAGAATTGTGTAAAATAATTTAATATAAATAATAATTTAGTAATTTAATATAAATATAATAATATTAAAAAATTTAACTTAATAAATTGTTTCCATTTAAACGAATAATATGTCAAATAATCTAATATTTCGAAATAAATTTATTAATTTAAAAAAATAAAAAAAAATTAAATAACGCATTATGGTCTTAAATGAAGATTAAAATTATGAAATTCAAATAAATAAATAAAAACTAATAATAATTAAATTATTTTTATTTAAATCAAAATTATGTGAAATAAAGAAATGAAAAAAAAAATATTCAAAAAAATTATTTTTTTATTTTAATCAATATTTCAAAATTTAAAAAAAAGTTAATTAAAAAAGACAGTAAAATTTTATACAAAAAGAAATAACATTAAAAACTAGAAGAAATTAAAAATAAAAATATGTAATCTAAAAATAAAATAACTGAACAAATGTGAATTTTAGTTAAATATTGTAGAGATGAAAAATAAATTTTTTTTAAATTACATATTGGAATGATATTGGAATTCAGTAAGTCGTAGTATCTTTTCATTATAATTACAGTTAAATACATATCTTAAGATTTAATATATAAAAAAACTGTTATAGTATAGTGACATAATAAAGTATAAGATAGATAAGTATAAGTATAAATTTCAGAGTAATGCATATATCTTTCTTTAAATATTTTATGGGGTTTTTGTGTTCCTATTAGACGTAAGGTCCACAAATGGAAGTTAAGTCAGATAGTAAAGGTCTACAAAACTATTAGAAAGTAAAAAATATTCGAGTGGAAGCATTAATAGGGAAATTCTTCTTTTTTCTTTGGTTTGGTCCTAGTCTAGAATAGAGTCTGAATTGTATTTTAAAATAATATTCTGTTTGGAGTTAAAATACAGATGTGATTCTGTATTCCTGTATAATGTGTTGTTAAAAGCTCAACGCCAATTTTGTTTTTTTCCAGGTTCAAATACCAGGATTTGTTGGGATACCAGGTTTATGTCTGCATGAAGAGATCTTTGAAATGAGTATAATAAAAACATCGAATTCAAAAATAATTATAGTTAAATAAGTTCTAATCATTTGTGATGGCTTTTCTTATTAAAATATTTCGTCATACTACATAGTTAAATTGTATTTTGAATAGAATGACACTTTCCGAGACCTTTTTAAAAACTCTCTTAAATAGTCACTTAGCTTTAGTCAATTCTTGTCCGTTACAGAGGGTAGTCCGATCAAAAGAAAATTCAGTTTATTGTTCCAAATAGTGAAAAATATAGTTTTAGTAACGTAAGTTTAAGGAAAATAGTCTACCGGAAAGGATTATCCGTTAAAAGAGTCGTTATAGTTACAGTTATTGTTACATGTTACAGTTACAATCCTCTCAACAGAATATCTTAAAATCATTTATTAATTAATTTTAAAGTAATTGAATTAAAATTTTTATTATTTTTGAATAAGTTATGTGCGTGTTATTATTATAAGTTTTGTATAGGGATTATATATTATTATATTATATATTATTAGAGTCTTATTATATTTATTATTATAGCATTCAATTAGAGTCTTATTAAAATTCTCTATACAAAATGGACATTTTTTTATAAACAATTGGATTGTTTAATATTATCTAAATATTAGTTTTGAATCCTTCTATGTTATGCATTCATAGTTAGTTTCATGTTATACCATTAAAAACTTCTATTCAAACTATAGAATAACAAATTTTTTTCTCTGAACACTATTGACTATTTTAATAATCTTCTTCGCTGCACACAAATATATTATTAAAACTCATTCGTTTTATTTTTTCCTTATTAATTTTTTTTATCCTTAGTCTTTTTAACGAACCACTGTTGTACATATTCTATACCGACTTCTCTCCAAACTGAAGGTATCGCAGTGGTCGGTTCGAATAGTAAATGTTCAAGTTTCTTGCAGATGGTACTTCTTGTGGCTGCTCATACAGATACTTACATTTTATAGACAGACTAATGTATCCGCAAAAATTCACATATATAACCAGCACAAAAAGTATCTACTATACGTTTAAAACGTTTAGACTAGAAGACTAGAAGAAAAAGAAGAAGAACCCCAACAAGTCTAGTCTAGTTCAGTTTCGTTGGCAACAACTCCCTTTTTTGTTTTGTTTTTCCTTTAAATATTTTATTGTTATATGTTGTTTGGTGTTTGGTGGTTGTTGTTGATTGCTGTTGATTGTAGTAGCTGCATTTTATTAATATTTTAGTCAAAGTACAAACTGTTGGCTGCCTTGCTTTCCTAGATGCTAGATACATATATCTTCTTCATTTACAATTCCAGCCATGCTTGTCGTCTTAAACGCTCCTATGCAGGCTTTGATTTGTGGCGACGACAACGACACTGTCCAAACGATCCGAACGACCGATTATTGTGTGTCCGTCCTGCTTTTGATGTACAATAAATTTGCAAAATGTACCTATGAGCTTCACTATCTATTCTTAAACTACGAGTATTCTATTTAAGGCTCACTTATACTCAATGTGCATAAAAGAATATTGTATATTATGTGCAGCAATTTTCTTGTTGTCCGTTGACGGCGCTTGGGGGAATATAAAAATTTTCTTTCCTCATGGATGCATTTTAACTTTATTTCCCCCTCCTCCTCCTCCTCCTCCTACTCCTCCTTCTATTTCGCCTCATCGCTTATGGTTAAGTAGTAGTTGTTTTTATTGCAACTATTGATAAACTGCGATCTATCTGCAAGATTCTATGTGCATTTAAATTATACATACGTACTGGTTTGGTTCGTTCCTGTTTTTCGCAATTGCCTGCTTGTACTGATTTTATTCCAGGCCGCAAGCGCAATTAACAATTTTTCTATTTATGCTAAAACACTGATTGCTGATATTATCGACTTTGCCAATAAACCTTATTTGAAAATCGTGCGGCTTGACTATATTGGCCTTTTATCACATTCTTTTTATTGCAATATTATAATACTTAATTTTTTATTTTATTTATTTTTTTTTTTTATTTTTTTTTGTATTTGGTTCTTTTTCCTGCTTCATACCATACCAACACCACTTGTATTGGCAAGATTGTCTATCTCTTCATCTGTCTGTCTGTCTGTTTGTATGTCTGTTAGTTTGCAGGTTACTCTAGTCAGATACTTTTCTCGTGCGATCTTCCTTACCTTCCTTTTCATATGC